TGGTAAACGAAATAATAATTTGATCTAAGTAAGAGTTTTTTTCTCTTCCCAATTTGCAAAAAAACCTTACGTAATAGAAAAAAATTAATATTATTTTCGAAATCTGCGTAGTTGATTTATGGAAAAGACCAAAACAACTTTTATGAAGTTTAAATTCGCAGGCCTGTGTAATTAATGTATATTATCTATTGAATATAGTTGTTGTACCGATTTTGAATTAACTAATATGGAAAGCTTACACTCGGAAATGCTAATTATAACGTTTTTAACAAAATCAGCACCTAGCAATTTTGTTTTTATTACTTCAAATAACAAAATATTTCTATACAGAAATAACATAATTTTTCTGACAAACTTTCTTTATTATAAACTCAAGTGAACGTTAAACACTGTTTGCACGAACTTTGCTGTAAATGAGTTTTATAGTCATCTGCAAATTAACGAAGAAAAGCACATGTGAAATTAAAATATTTTTAGAAAATCTTGAATATAGACGAACTATCAGAATTTACTGGTTAGATAAAATGCCAGTTATTGATATCACACATTTACCAAAGAATCCTATAGGATTAGATTTTGATTGCCTTAAAAATCTTTCAAAATTTAGTAGTCTGTCCATTCACATATTGTTTCAGGATATTTGAACAAATATTTAAATGCAAAGATCGTTTTAAATAGTAAAATAGAATCAACTGTTCTGTCATAAAACTATAAATCTCCATAGAAGGAGAAAGACTTTGTCGTGATTTAAATATACCATAAAAAAACGATAGGACAACCTATTAAGTCTTGCAGTTGAATTAATTTTGCGTTATTTTTTCTTTCAAAATACCTCGTTTTTCGTCTTGAAATTAGTAATATTTTTAGACTTTTAGCAAGTGTCCAAAACAATAAGTACATAAAAGAATAAAAACATAATATTGTAATTATTTTAAGTGTTTCCTAATGCACACAAACATATGCAGAATGGTGTGAATTAAGCAAATATCTGTGCAAAATCTCCGTGCTAAATATTTAGTTTTCCTATTCAGGAGGGTGAACTACATATAAATCATAAGTTATAACTCAAATTCTACACTTTATTTGCAAATGATGCACGTGAGCACGTCATTTTATTGATGTGTTGTTATTCAAATACTAAATTGAAAGTACTTCCAATTCAAAATGTATCTGCATAAATATTTGTCTTAAAATGCAATATTATTAATTTTACAGATAAAGCGTTATAAATATGGCAGAGTTTTTGGTTCATAGGTTAATATTACTATAAAGTGATTGTTAATTGATTCGTTTTAAAATAAAGTTACGAAATATATGTATGATGTTTTGAAATGTCTTTTGCTAAAATATTAATCATATATTTATATATGAACTTCAAGAATATGCAGTAATGATGCTGTTATTCTATTCTTTGGATTATTCAGCCGGACAAGCTGTTTAAAACACGAGAAAAATAAATGTGAAGCTCAAACTATGATTCGATTTGTCTTTGTCTAAGGTTACTAATGAGGGATGAAATTCCAGGAAACCAGTAAAACTCAGCCACAAGTGATGATAAATCGAGCGATAGATTGGACTTCACATTAATTTTTTAGCGTTTTAAACAGTTTGTCTGGATGACTAGTTTCTAAGAAACTAGAAGTATCAGTGCTGCCTATTTTTAAAATTCCTATATAAATATAGGATTACTGTGTTTGTGAATTGTTTGTTTGTTTTGAATTT